ATCTAGTTGCAGGTTTTGATTGTGACATTTTCTGATATTTATTAATCTAGAAAAATACAAATAAAGTTATGCAATAAGCATGATGTGAATTGCAAAAGTTATAAAATTTTATTCATTTAGTATATATTCAGTGATATCCATTATTCAGTATCTTTTTTGAGTTTAGAGATATGAATTTATATAAAATAAAATTCAAAGTAGTTTACATAATTTATATTGCAAAATAACAACTTAAATGTATACTGACTTTTTACAATTGAGATATTCCACTGCAAAATTGTTAAAAATAAAATTTTTTAGTTAAAATAATTAATTTGGTAGTCTGATAGTGATAAATATACAAAATGACGGTTTAGTGGCAAATTACAGGAATTCTGGGATAGAAAAAATAAGTAAGTGGGCTGCAGCTAATTAATAATTAAGCACTATAAAAATTTAACTATTTGAATGTAACAAATTTCTAAAAATGCTATGAAGTAAAATTTCTGTTTTTTTTATCTGTATTTGGAAATTTATAAATATTTTTCATATACAGAACATTAATTAGTTGATAAATTTAACAACTGGTCAGGTTCTCAAAAAAAAAAAAAAGAGTACACCTCATTGAAAAGACTTCTGGTTGTGTTCAAAATGGATTTACAGATAAAAAAATGTATTTAAAGATTTCAATAATATTCAACAACACATTAATTTACACAGCTATCTTTTCTATCGCGTACATGTGATTTTATCAGTTGGCATGTGGCACCCTTTAATGAAGGAATATTTTTATGAAATTTTGCACATGAGTTCATGAGATCAATAGGAACAGGAATAGAGGTTGTCCCAGACAAAATCTGAACATTTAATTTTTGACTACCATCCTAATGTCAGAAGTTTTATCATGTCAGATATATATATATATACATATATATATATATATATATATATATATTTTTTTTCATTATTCACCTCCCCAAGGCCCGAGGGGGCCACTACAGTCTAGGAGGCTACTCATTTTTTTGTGTTTTTTATTTTTCTGTTGTATTTCGTGGTACAACCCTCTCTCAACTCTTTAACTCCGAAACACGAACCTTGACAAGCAAGGCCGCTGCGCGGAGAAACTAAGTTGATATATATATATATATATATATAAGTTGATATATATATATATATATATATATATATATATATATATATATATATTTACATATATATATATATATATATATATATATATATATATATATATATATATATATATATATATATATATATATATATATATATATATATATATACATATACATTGTTTGTTTATATATATATAATATATATATATATATATATATATATATATATATATATATATATATATATATATATATATATATATATAAACAAACAATGGTTTTATTGTCACAGTAATTGTTAACTACAGCTTTGCTAATATGGTATGTCATTGAACAAATATTACAAAAATATGATTTCATTTGTAAATATTTCTAGTTTATATATATATTTTCAGTTTATATATTCAATTATTTTTATGTATTATTATGTATATATGTGTAAAGTATGGGTTTTTGAGAGTGTTAATATCTTTTATATATGAAGTGATTCTATGTAACAGTATATTTGTGATGTGTTACAATGTTATATGTTTATAGTTTGTAAGTGGTTATTATGTTGTTTGCATGGTTTCAAATTGCTATGACTTGGCTTAGTTTACAGCAAGAGTGTTGATCTTGCTAGCCAAGTGGTGTACTTTGCTATGTGACTTGGTTTTGTTGAGAACAAGAATATTGTCAGTGCCATTAAAGTGGTGTACTGTCATGATGTTTAGTTATGTTCAATAATTTAATAAGTGAAATCATTTGACTTCATCGAAATAAAAGAAACCAGGTTAGGTGAGATGAATTGAACCGTCTATAAAATGAAAGAGATGAGCTTAGGCTAGCTGAGATAAGTTGTTGTCAAAATAAAAGAGATAAGCCTAAGTGAGCTAAGATAAATTGTCGTCAAAATGAAAGAGATAAGCCTAGGTGAACTGAGATAAATTGCTGTAGAAATAAAAGATATCAGGCTAAGCAAGAACTCAGTAAGTATAAATGCATCGCATAGTAAGAAATAATATTGGTATAAAGAGTTACTAATTCAGAGAATTAAACCATATTTTTGAGTATTGTGGTGCAAAGAAGTTTTTGAATAAAACTCATTTTTGTGCTGATATTTAGGAAAATTTGTATTAGCTCCTCTTTTTCCATATCCACTATTTTTGATTAGGTGACAGGAAACCATGTTGGTCATCCTTTCAATCGAAATTTTTTTAAACACCTAAGGAGTTATAGTTCCTCTCTACCTTTTGCTTCCTTTACAACCAAAATAGCTCCTCCCTCAAATAATGGCCCTTTCTGTTTTAGGGTCTATGGGCAAATTTTGCATCCTGTTGGAAATTTAAGGCCTGAAGAAGGTTTTCTACCCACATATTGTCAGTTTAATAAATATGAACCAAATTCAGCAGTGCATTCAGAATCAAGCAACCTGGTAATGATGGTTATATAAATGAGTTAACGCAAATTTTTATTTTTCATTCATTTTTAGCCTTGCCTTTTTATAAAGAGTTAATCCAAACTTACAATAATAAATCTTGAAACTTTCACAAGCCTCACAAAGTAAATTTCTTATTTGTTATCTGTTTAGTCACATTTTTAAGTTTTCATACAAATAAATAGAGTATATAACAAATTAATGTGAATTAAGTGTATTCAATAATAATTTTGTTCCATTTTTGAATTTGAAGGTTGAATTCCTTCTCTTATGAGTGATTTTTGAAAGTTCTTACATAAAAGAATTTAAGAAATTTTCTGAATGTTGATTGTATTCAAAAAGCTAAAATAAAGTTTGATAATCTTTATAATATTTACTGAAAACTATATAATAATGAAACAATGTTTCAATTTAAATTGTATTTGTAAGTATTTTTTTACACTTTTTTATGCTGAATATAATGTTTATATTTTATATTTATCTCAAAAAAAGTTTATATTTTTATTTTATCTCAAAAAAAATATGTTTTTCGTTTCTCAAGTAAATTTCTATATTTTTTATCTTTGGAGTTATTGTTTTGAATGAATATATTGGCCATTTTTGTTTTGTTTTTTATATTTAGATTATTTTTTTATATGTGAATAGAAACCATTTATACTTTTATCACCTTTTGTACTTGAAGTTTTCATTTGCATTAAGTATCAATTTTTGGCACAAACAACAGGTTAATTTATTTGTCTAACTTGGCAGTAAAAACAGCTTAACTGAATTAATTTGTTGAGAGTTTTTTTCTTACAAAAAAACTTTTATAAAAAATATCAAACAGATAAAGCTAACTTATTTAAAATAACTAGGTCTCTTTGGCCCATTTTTCAATGTCCAAATTTGCTTTTTAAATAAATTTTAATGAGGAAAAATATTATTATAGCCTAAGTTTCCAAAAACACCTGAATAATGTCACGCAACTGTCTTAAATGTTAAAGATACTTTTATTATGTAAAAAATATTAAAGTAAATAAGTGCAGTTCTAGAGTATAGTAAATTAATTGTTAACCAAAAGGCAAGAACTTTAAATCAACAAATTTTTTGCCGTTTACTAAATTAAAGTATAGAGACCAAATTAAGAACAAGTTTAAAAAAAGTCAGGTGTGGAACAAACTACCAGGACCCGTATTGTACGGATCATGACAGCTAGCGTATATGTATATATATATATATATATATTTTTTTAATTATCTTCGCTTCCAACAAGGTTGCAAGCAACCACTAATTAGTGTTGGAAGTTACTAGAAGAGAAAAGATAAAGATTGTAGAGCAAGATAACGATTGACAGACGACTTAAAAGATTGCAAATTATATGAATCAGGAAAGCAAGATGAAGGAAGCAAATTCCAAAGAACTGATGTTCAAGGAAAAAAACTAGACAAATAAGAGTTTTTGGAGCACTTAGGAACAGTAACAGAAAAAGGATGAGACTTAATTGAATGACGAGTAACACAAGAATGAATTTTAGTAGATGGCACAAAAGACGCTAGCTCTTTAGAGCAGTGCCCATTATAGTATTTGTAGAAAAGAGAAAGAGAAGCAACATTACGACGATGTGACAGAGGTTGAAGGTTGGCTGCAAGAGAAGGTCCAACTATGTTTACAATGCGTTTTTGCACCTTGTCTAAAAGAGAAAGGGCATCATTACAATATCCGCCCCAGATATGGCAACAGTATTCCATACAAGGCCGGATTTGAGATTTATAGAGATAGAGAATAGAATCCAGAGTAAGAAAGTGACAAGCTCGATAAAGAGAAGCAACTTTAGCAGATGCTAATTTTGCAACGGATTTGATATAAGGTTTCCAAGAAAGATCAGAAGTAAGAGTTAATCCTAGAAGATGAAGGGTAGGAGACTCATCGAGTACATTACTGTTCATAAATATAGGAAGGTGTAAATTATTGCGATATATATATATATATATATATAATATATATATATATATATATATGTATTAAAATTTTTCAATTCTATATATACAAGATTTAAAAACTAATATCCAACTTGAAAAAGAAAAAATGTCTTTAAATCAATTACAAAGACAAAATGACTAAAATTGAACAAAAGCATAAAACAATGACAATACAATACAGAACAAAAACATAAACAACTGTGCAATAAAAATTGCAATAAAATAAAATAAAAACTACAATAAAACTGCGCCATTATGCAATTTTTTAACTGCAAGAAAACAACTAACATAAAAAAACAGCATAAGTACAAAAAAACTTGATTTTTGAGTCTTAAAAATTGCTTTTTTTTTTTGTAGTTTTTTAAAACCAACTTTCAGCAAGAGTGTTAAACATATGAAAATATGTTTAACATATTGTAATATATGTTTTATTCTATTGCTTAAAATCTACATAATGAATTAAATAGAAAAAAATATATAAAGAGAAAAGAACAAAAAATAAATATATCTTACATCTGATATTTCCTGCAAAAAAGGTCTGCAGTTTTTAGTTTGTCCTACTTTTTGAACATAAAGAACACAAAAGCAAGTATTTGAACAGACATACTCAAATCTGACTTCAACAAATACACCCATATCAAACTCAATAACTCTATTTGAAGGTAATCCTTGATAAAAAATAACATAAAATAAAAAAAACTAGCTTCAACATTATAAATTAACTAGATACAATAATTAAAACAACATGTTGATTTATTATAATACTTATTAGAAAACTTTCATTGTTATAATTATATTTCACAAAATATAATCTTTTTAAATAAAATAATAATTGATAACGATGAATAATATTTAAATGTAAATTATCATTTTATTTATCAATTAATTTATAAATAATTTATAAAAACTTATAAATAATTACTTTTCAATTATTTCAAAAGCAATTTTTGAATCATTACTATTTAAATCAATTAACAAAGAGCATGCACAAATAAACCATGAGTAAAGTTATACATGTATCATGGTTTCTATTTTGCCATAAATTGATACAATATTAAGAATTGAAAATTATTATGATTTGGATTCTTTCAGGATTTTTTTCTTTTGACAGTGTTTTTATGGTTGTCAACTCTCTTTTAAATAATATAATAAAATATTTTATTAAAATTTTTATAACAAAACAATTTAAAAAAGTGGTTTAGAATGAGAATTTTCAGTTTTTTTGAATTTTTATGTGTAATTTTAAATCTTTTTTAATGCATTTATTTTTGAACTCCCATAGTCTATTTTATTTGATCACTTACTGTGAAAAGCAAACCATTCTACTGTCGGATCTCGTTCTCCAGAAACAAAACCAGTTCCTTGAAGTATCTTGTCACACAAACTAAATTCTTGCGTGGTGGTAGACTTGACAGATGGTGACATTGTACTTGTTAAATGATGACTTTCTGTTTCTTTACGCACAGCTAGAAAAATTTTAGTCATGTTTTACATTAAAACAAATTAGATTAAAAAAAAATTTAAAAACTTTTTAATTTAATTTTTTCTATTAACTTAATAATTTCTTAGATTGTTTAATATATGAATAATATATTGTGTAGTTGTGTGTGTGCGCACGTGTGTGTGTGTGTGTGTGTGCGTGTGTAGTTAGTTAAATTTTTGATAAAAATTAAAAAAAAAAAAAAAAAAGCACTTATCAAGAATTTAAAAAAAAAATATTAACAAAAAATTTGTTTTTAACAATTCAAGCACAATTTTTAGAATCTTGATTTTTAACAATTCAAGCACAATTTTAGAATCTTGATTTTTAGCCATTTTTAAAACAGTTAAATTTGATCATACTTTAAACTTATTTTTTACAATTTTTTTTGTCAAGTAATTTTCTATCAAATTCTATAACATTACAAAAGTCAAAACAAATAAACAAAGAATTGTACTAAATTAATAAAATCATTGTTATTTATTATTGTCATAAAACTATAAATTAATATTTAATACTTTTAAAATTATATCCTAATAAAAGTTGAGCATTCATTGACTAGAAACTTATACGTGTAATCCATAAGCGAACTATATTATAGGCAATATACTGTCAAAAGTACAAATAACTACAAAGTACTCACATATATGACAGTACTACAAAGTGTCATATATAACTATTATTTTATATATCATATAAATAAACTAAAAAGCAGTAACAACTATTATTTTATATATCATATAAATAAACTAAAAAACAATAAAAAGTTAAAAACATAATCTATAAATATATACCTGCACCAACTTCAAAAAGTAGATTCTCAACTCGCATATTTTCACAGATAAATTTTGATAGATGCTTCATATATATACCATTTTTATCATTCCGCCTTTCAAATGATTGGGATTGAGGACAACTAAAATGAAGTTATTGTATTTTCATAACTTTGAAAAATCAAATTTTATACCAATCAACAGTAAAACTAAGCATAGTCTAACTAACTGTAATATATTATATATATTGTAATATAATATATAATGCAAATATAATAACAAATGTAATACAATATATAATGTAATATGTGTATAATGCTTTTAAATATCAAAAAATTACTACCACAATAAAAATACCAGAAAATAATGTAATATAATATAATATATATAAGGGGTATGAGTAAAAATATATTTTTGTTAATTTTTATTCACTATGTTACAATGAGAGGAGAAAATATATATTTAAACAGAAAATACTATAGAAAAATATTAATTCATAAAAAAATCACGCCCAATTACACCTGACAACACGGTGAGTGCCATGTATCATGTATCACCAAAAATATTTTTTTCTTAAAGTATATCAAGTTGGATTTCGAAAGAAATCCAACTTGATATATTATTTTTTTTTCAAATTTCAAAGAGATTTTCTAAATAACTATCTTTTTAAATGTAACCTTTTTAAAGATGATGTTGTTAAATCTTAAAAAACTTTTAAATTTTCCAACACATCATTGAGTGACTTAGAGTGTGACATTTTGTAAAAATTGACACTTGTAATTGGCATTTACTTGATTCTTGCACAAAAACTTAACAAGAAGTAATATGGAGATAATTTTTTAATAATATGGAGATAATCTTTTAAAACAGTTATATATCGCTATCATAATTTAACTAACCGCAATATATTATATGTAATGTGTATAATGCTTTTAAATATTAAAAAATTACTACCACAACAAAAATACCAGAAAATTACTATGATAATAAAAATGCAAAAAAAAAACAAAATATTATTATGTCCAAATGTCCAAAAAGAAGGTCAGGTCAGGTTTATCCTGCTACTGGTAACATGTAACCCAGTACAATCTGCTTTATGTCCTGCTGCCTTGTAGGATATGCCTTTTTAGGCAAAGGCTAGGAGATGCAAACTACGACATAAAACACCCCCTGCCTTGGGGCTCTTGGTTGAGTAAAGGCTAGAGATAGTGTCTCGATAAAAATACTCATCTTGGGCAGATGTTATATGCATCCCGCTGCTGTCTTGTAGAAGGCCTCCTAGGCAAAGACTTAAGGGGTAAACAGATTCTATCTGTTGACCAGCCTCGCACCCCTTCTTCATCTATTAGGCTGGCGCAGATGTATTTTTAATACATTGTTTCCAGTTTAGGATGTTGAACGCTGGATCTTCTTGGCTCGATTCATGGGTTTTGCTTTTGTCTCTGTTTTTATGACTAGGCAACTCATTCTATTATCTTAAAATGAGGGTACAGCTCTAAAACTCAGTTTTATGATTCTAAGGCCGGCTGGTAGTCAGGTTTCCCGAACTCTGTGGTAGCTCTCAGAGAGGCTGATTCCATCAACAGCTGAAAAATATCAGAGTACTAATAGTGCCATGTTGCGCATGGATGGTGTCCCTGTTTGTACTTTTAGTGTGCATTGCCAAGGCCACATTGGAGACCTTTGTTACGGCTTAGGGTTTATTAGTGGAAATGAGGCGATTGCTTGGGCTATAAGACAGTGTACTGAGTACTATCTATGTTTCGAGTCAAGTTCTTTAACAATTTTAAAAATGAATAAAGTAACAAAAACTATAAAACACAAAAAACCACAGTCATCACCAAGTTTGCTAAACCTATCATTCACCAATATTCGTGGTCTTCATAGTAACTTTTCTTCTGTTGAGTCTTATCTCTTGCAAAGTTCACCAGACCTACTTGCTCTTTGTGAGACTAATTTGTGTCCAACTGTCTCATCTTGTGATCTTAATGTTGATGCTTATCTTCCTTTAATTCATAAAGACTCCAATAGTCACATGCTTGGCCTAGGCATTTACATTCGTAAGAATTCACCCATTTGTCGGGAAACTAGGTTTGAATACACAGACTACTCTTTTATGTGCTTTCGTTTAGCATCACCTCACTCTATCACTTTTCTCTTTCTTCTATATCGCTCTCCCTCATGTCAAGACTGTACTCTTCTTGATGTTATTTTTGATTATATTGACCAAGCCCTCATTCTTTATCCATCAGCCAATATTGTTGTTGTCGGTGACAACAACAATATTGGCTGTTCATCACACTGAATTTAATGTTCATCACACTGAATGGCTTGGCTCTAGTGTCAGTGACTCTGCAGGCATTAAGGCCCACAACTTCTGTCTTTCTCAATCCCTAACTCAAATAGTCAACTTTCCAACTCGCTTTCCAGACAACCCGAATCATTTACCTTCTCTACTCGACTTATGTCTTGTTTCTGATCCTAGTCAGTGCTCAGTTTCTTCACACTCAATCTTAGGTGCTTCTGATCATGGTTTGGTCTCTCTAAAACTATTATCTCATTCTTCTTTACCATCAGAATCACCCTATCATCGTACATCTTACAACTACCTTAAAGCTGACTGGGACTCTTTCCGTGATTTTCTTCGTGATGGCCCCTGGGTAGAAATCTTTCGACTCCCTGTTGACAAATGTGCTTCTTACATAACTTCATAAAACAGATGTTTGTTTATTACTGCTAGGAACCATTGTAAAAAGGTTTTGTCTAATGCCAAAGCCCACTATTCTCAGATCATAAAATCTTGTATTTCATCACAAAAATTAGGCTCTCGTGACTTCTGGAGAATCTTTAATAGTATCAATAATAAGGGCAAGTCTGTAATTCCACCTCTTTTGTATGGTTCAGACTTTGTCACCTCACCTAAAGACAAAGCTGAATTGTTTGCCAAGAACTTTTCATCAATATCATCTCTTGATGCCACTAGTTGCGTTCTACCTGATATAGCCGTCAAACAGGTTGATCCATTGCTCGACATTCGTATCACTCCAGCTTCTGTATCTAAAGTGATTTCCCGCTTAGACTCTTCTACAGCTTGCTGTCCAGACAACATACCTGTTATAGTCTTGCAGAAGTGTTCTCCGGAGCTGTCGTCTATCCTTTCAAAACTATTTAACAAGTGCTTATCAGAGTCTTGTTTTCCAGCCTGCTGGAAAGCAGTACCTGTTATCCCTATTTTTAAAAATTCTGGAGAGCAATCCGATTTGTTTAACTACCGTCCCATTAGTCTTCTTTCTATCATAAGCAAGGTTTTTGAATCTTTAATTAACAAACACTTAACCTCTCATCTCGAATCTCATAACCTACTTTCTGATCAGCAATATGGATTTCGATCTTCTCATTCTACGGCTGATTTGCTAACAGTAATAACCGATAGGTTTTATTGTGCATTAGATAAAGGTGGAGAGGTTAAGGCCATTGCTCTTGACATTTTTAAAGCGTTTGATAAAGTTTGGCATGCTGGTCTTCTCCATAAGCTTTCTTCTTACTGTGTATCTGGAAACATCTTTAAGATTATTGAATCCTTCCTTTCCAATCATAGTATAAAAGTTGTCCTTGATGGACAGCACTCTTCTTCTTATTCTGTAACCTCAGGGGTTCCCAAGGTTCAATCCTTGGCCCTATACTCTTTTTAATTTACATTAACGATCTTCCAAATTTTCTTACATCTAAGGTGGCATTGTTCGCTGATGATACTACCATTTATTCTTGTCACGATAAGAAGCCAACTCCCTCTGATTGCTTGCAGGAGGCATCTGAGCTTGAAAAGGATCTCACTTCTGCTACAGCATGGGGCTCACAGTGGCTGGTGAACTTTAATTCAGATAAAACTCAATTTTTTTCGGCCAATCGTTATCGCAATAGTTTAGACCTTCCTATATATTAATGAACGGTAATGTACTCGATGAGTCTCCTACCCTTCATCTTCTAGGATTAACTCTTACTTCTGATCTTTCTTGGAAACCTTATATCAAATCGGTTGCAAAATTAGCATCTGCTAAAGTTGCTTCTCTTTATCGAGCTCGTCACTTTCTTACTCTGGATTCTATTCTCTATCTCTATAAATCTCAAATCCAGCCTTGTATGGAATACTGTTGCCATATCTGGGGCGGATATTGTAATGATGCCCTTTCTCTTTTAGACAAGGTGCAAAAACGCATTGTAAACATAGTTGGACCTGCTCTTGCAGCCAACCTTCAACCTCTGTCACATCGTCGTAATGTTGCTTCTCTTTCTCTTTTCTTCAAATACTATAATGGGCACTGCTCTAAAGAGTTAGTGTCTCTTGTGCCATCTACTAAAATTCATTCTCGTGTTACTCGTCATTCAATTAAGTCTCATCCTTTTTCTGTTACTGTTCCTAAGTGCTCCAAAAACTCTTATTTGTCTAGTTTTTTTCCTCGAACATCAGCTCTTTGGAATTCGCTTCCTTCATCTTGCTTTCCTGATTCATATAATATGCAATCTTTTAAGTCATCTGTCAATCGTTATCTTGCTCTACAATCTTCATCTTTTCTCTTCCAGTAACTTCCAACACTAATTAGTGGTTGCTTGCAGCCTTGTTGGAAGCAAAGATAATTAAAAAAAAAAAGTAGTAGCAATCCAGTTCATGATTCTGTTTTTCATAATGGTATTAAAATTTTTTTTTTTTAATTTTAACTTGTATATTTAATACATACCTAAATGAACTTTCTTTTGTTCCTTTTTATATACAATATCAGAAATAAAAAAATTATAAAAAAGTTAAAATTACAACGTTATTATTACAATGGTCCTAGATGTCAGTTAATACAAAGAATTTTAATTTTCATACATATAGTGGGGCAAGGCAATTTGAGGAGTATAAAAGTATTTTTGTGCCTATTTTTTTTATATCTGCTTAGAGAATATAGCTTTTTTTGCACATAACTCGGTGGGAAATGAGAAAGAATTTGTTTAATGAAGTTAGGTTTGGTGAATTGCCACAATGCTAAATCAAGCAGAGATTCATGAAAAAATCAAAAGATTGTGTGCTTGCTCTATCTAAAAATATTTTTTTCAAAAAAAAAGACAACTTACAGCTTTCCAAGCAGCTCACCGCCACAAC